TATTCTATTCTATTCTATTCTATTCTATTCTACTCTACTCTATAATCTGCCTATCCTGTCCTATCCTATCCTACATTCCGATTCTATTCTATATTTCTCTTCTCTTCTCTTCTATATTCCTATTCTCTTCTCTTTCTTTCCCTTTCATATTTTCTATTCTATTCTATTCTATTCTATTCTATTCTATTCTATTCTATTCTATTCTATTCTATTCTATTCTATTCTATTCTATTCTATGCCATAATTCTATTCTATTCTATGCCATAATTCTATTCTATTCTATTCTGTATTTCTATTCTACTCTATTATGTGTTTCTATTCTATTCTATTCTATTCTGTATTTCTATTCTACTCTATTATGTGTTTTTATTCTATTCTACTCTACTCTATTCTATTACATTACATATTTTCTATTCTATTCTATTCTATTCTATTCTATTCTATTCTATTCTATTCTATTCTATTCTATTCTATTCTATTCTATTCTATTCTACTCTGTTCTGTCCTGTCCTGTCCTGTCCTGTCCTATCCTATCCTATCCTATCCTATCCTATCCTATCCTATCCTATCCTATCCTATCCTACCTTACCCTACCCTACCCTACCCTACCCTACCCTACTGTAAAAACCAACCAAGAACTAAGGAGAAATTTCCTGACTGTGAGAACAATTAACCAATCACTGGAGGTTTTCAAGGAGAGACTGGACATCCATTTGTCTGGAATGGTCTAGGGGCTCTTGCTTGAGCAGGGGGTTGGACTAGATGACCTCCAAGGTCCCTTCCAACTCTCTTTACTCCGTTAAATTGTGAGGCAGGTAGTTCTCGAGTTACAACCATCCCTTTCGCCACCATTTGAAATTACAAAGGCACTGAAAAAAATGATTTACAACTGGTCCTCGCACTTATGACTGTCGCAGCACCCCTGCCTCCACAGTCACGTGATCAAAAATCAGGCACTTGGCAATCGGCCTGTATTTACAAGTGTTGTGGCATCCCAGGATCACGTGATCGTCATTTGAGACCATCCCAGGGGGCCTTCCACAAGCCTGGAGGAGCTGGATCTGCTTAATGACCACGTGATTCATTTAACAACTGTGGCAAGAAAGGGCTGCGACTGATTTAACAGCCTCCTTGCTTGGCAATGGAAATTTTGATCACAATTGTGGTCCTAAACTGAGGACAAACTGTATATGGATTTGAGGAGCAGGAAAAATAGTAGATAATGGGGGGAAAAAAATGAACGTTATACGGTCAGTTTAGAGCAGTGGTTCTCAACCTGTGGGTCGGGATCCCATTTGGGGTCGAACGACCATTTCACGGGGGTCCCCAAACAACGCAGTCCGCCATTTTTTTCCCCTTTTCCTTAGCTGTGCTACTCCCTTTTATTCTGTTGGCTTTTGAAAGCCAATAGAATAGACTCTCTTGAATAGAGTCTAATTCTATTGGCTTTCAAAAGCCAATAGGAATTGTCCAGGCTGTCTCTGCCCTGCTGAGCCCGCCAAAAGTCCCATTCTGCAAAAGGTGCTGCACCAGTTGAGTAGTCCTCGACTTACGACCGGTTGAGTAGTCCTCGACTTACGACCGGTTGGGGGTCGCAGCATTAAAAAGGTTGAGAACCACTGGTTTAGAGATTAATGTAAATTCATACCTATATTGATTGTAAAAGAATGTCGGAGGTTATTTCTCTACATTTATTCCCCCATCTTTTCCTCTGCTTCCTCCATCGTTCTTTATTCTGTTTCCTATATTAATTCTTAGTTTTCTTTAGTTTTTAACCTCTCTGGTTTAAAAATCTAATAAAGTTAAAAAAAAAGGCAACTTTTAAAAGGTACAGAGAGAAGGCTTAGGAAAAAAAAAACTTTGTACAAACCTCTTAGAAATCTGCTGTGCTAAAAAGATTTATGGACTTAAGATAATGAGGGTTTTTTTCCCCTCCTATTTTAATACAATGATCCTCTGAAAAAATAACACTATTAATCACAGGATAATGGTCTACTTGGCTAGGCTGATCACACTTTCTCTCTCTCCAAGTGCAAAAAAAGTACACCAATTTAGCAGGAAAAGAATTCCGCCAAGTTAGCTGGCTTGACTTTGAGAAAGATCTTGGCGTCCTCATGGACAATCACTTCAGTGGCTAGTCTAAAGAAAATCAGAAACAGGGGTGACATGATAGCAGTGTCCCAGTATTTGAGGGGCTGCCCCAAAGAAGAGGGGGGCCAAGCTATTCTCCAAAGCACCAGAAGACGGATGGAAATTAATCAAGGAGAGAAGCAACCTAGAATTAAAGAGAAACTTCCTGACAGGGAGGACAATTAACCAGTGGAACAGCTGGCCTCCAGAAATTGTGGGTGCTACATCACTGCATGTTTTTAGGAAGAGACTGGACAGTCACTTGTCTGAGATGGTAGGGGTTCTCCTTGGACTAGAACAGTGGTGGAGAACCTATGGCACGCGTGCCAGAGGCGGCACTCGGAGCCCTTTCTGTGGCCACGTGCGCCGTTGCCCCACCCCCGCCTCCCCCCACAGCCCCCACCTCACCAGCAGCCCCCCCAGAAGAGAGTCGCCCCAAGCGCGGCCCACGCGGAGCAGCGCAGCCAAGAACATGGCAGCCGGGCAGTGGGGACAAGACTCCGCCCTCGTGTCCTGTCGTGCACAGTTGATTCTGTGGGGCGCAGGCAGAGGGTGTGGCTGCCATGGCGCTGCTGGGCCACCTGGGCGATCTGTGGCAGGCCGTGGAGGCGGTGGGTGGCCCTGCGGGCAGGCGGGGCCAGGGGCAGGATGGGGAGGGTGAGGTGCGGGCGGGGCCTGTTTTTGGGCACTCAGTCTCTAAAAGGTTTGCCATCACTGGATTAGAAGATCTCCAAGATCTTTTCCAGCTCTATTCTATTCTACGTCTGAGCCAGCCATGTGCTGCAGCTGCCAAAAAAGCCAATTCAGTCCTCGGTTGCATAAACAGAGAGATAGAATCAAGATCATGTGAAGTATTAATACCACTTTACAAGGCCACACTTGGAATACTGCATCCGGTTTTGGTCACCACGATGTAAAAAAGATCTAGAAAGAGTGCAGAGAAGAGCAACAAAGATGATTAGGGGTCTCTGGTTTAAACATACGGTGAACAGTTGCAGGAATTGGGTATGTCTAGTGAAAAGAAGGATGAGGAGTGACTGTGATAGCAACAAAGATGATTAGGGGACTCGAGGTTAAAACATATAAGGAAAGGCTGCTGGAATTGGGTCTGTCTAGTTTAATGAAGAGAAGGACGAGGGGGGACATGATAGCAGTCTTCCACTATCTCGGGGGCTGCCCCAAAGAAGAGGGAGTCAAGCTATTTTCCAAAGCGCCTGAAGGCAGGACAAGAAGCAACGGATGGAAACTAATGAAGAAGCAACCTGGAACTAAGGAGAAACTTCCTGACAGTGAGAACAATTAACCAATGGAACAACCTGCCTCCAGAAGCGGTGAATGTTCCAACAGTGGAAGTTTTTAAGAAAAGACTGGACAGCCATTTGTCTGAAATGGTATAGGGTTTCCTGCCTGAGCAGGGGGTTGGACTTGATGACCTCCAAGGTCCCTTCCAACTTTATTACTATTATTATTACTACTACTACTACTACTACTACTATTATTATTATTATTATTATTATTATTATTATTATGGATCATCGCACAGTCAGCCAGATGTTCAGACTAGATTTGGCATTTTGTCTACCTATCGAGTCCTTACCCAGGACCTGGGATAGGCAGATGTGGATGTTTGATGGTATTACAGGTATCGTCGCAGGATGGAAGCAGTTCCTAGTCAGGCCGCCTTTTGCAATTGACTAATAGAGAATTTGTCAATGCCAATGGTGTTCAAGTGGTGCTCCAATTGTTTTGGGATTGCACCCAAGGAGCCTATTATTATTATTATTATTTATTGATCATCGCACAGTCAGCCAGATGCTCAGACTGGATTTGGCATTTTGTCTACCTATCATTTTGTCTACCTATCGAGTCCTTACCCAGGACCTAAGATAGGCAGATGTGGATGTTTGATGGTATTACAGATATCGTCGCAGGATGGAAGCAGTTCCTAATAATGCCGCCTTTTGCAATTGACTAATCTGTTAGTCTCTGTTCTGTTATTTCTGATTTTGGATGTTGTTCTTTCCAGAACTGGTGGATTCGTTTTAGATATCCTCGTCTTGTTGGACTTGATCTGTAGTAACAGATCATTATTTCTTTGTTTTCCATCACTGTGTATCTGCGACGGGTAAACACCTTTTCTTCCAGTAGTTCTGCAGCTACTGGCCCTGGTTGCTCAGCCAACAGTCCTGAGTCCTGTAACCCATTTTTCACCAGATATCCAGGAACTCCAAGATCTAGTGCGGACCTTGTTAACCCGGGCGATGTCCGAGCCGGTATGGCATTCTGCAATTTACGTCTCACCATATTTTTTATGGGATAGACACTCTTTGTCTGACTCCTCTGATGAGACCTGTCCAGTATGGTTGAACCTCTGGCATAGCTCTCATCTTCCTCAGAGTACACAAGCCCCACAACCACGTCAAGGTAGTGCCTCACTGGGGATTATTATTATTATTATTATTATTGGGACTCCTACAAAGAAAAGGGGGTCAAACTATTTTCCAAATCACCAAAAGGCAAGACAAGAAACAACAGATGGAAACTAATCAAGGAGAGAAGCAACCTAGAACCAAGGAGAAACTTCCTGACAGTTAGAACAATTAATCAGTGGAACAGCCTGCTTCCAGACATTGTGGGTGCTCCATCCATGAAGATTTTCAAGGAAAGACTGGACAGTCATTTGTCTGGAATAGTATAAGGTCTCCTGCTTGAGCAGGGGGATGGACTAGAAGACCTCCAAAGTCCCTTCCATCTCTGTTATCCTGTTAAAGGTTGTTCTGTTCTGTCAGTTCAAGCTATTTCAGGCCAAACGGATGACTACTGTAATTATTATTTCTAGGCAGCAGCTCAAGAAATTTAGCTCGGCCTACCTGATTTGTCAACGCGGGAGACTTCTCAGCTTCGTGGAGCCTAAAGATAGAACCAAAAGCTCAGATCAACCAAAAGGAGTCAACAGCAAATTTCACACACTGACTTTTTAAAACGAAATTAGAAACAACACCTGCAAACAAAACAACAACAACAACAACAAAATTCAAACTGGCACAGATTTTGTAGAGGTCTCCATTGTGACCATTTGCTTCTGCAAAGGAGATTTGAGATATAGCAGCATTGGTCTTTGGGGTTTAATGGGTAAAGAGCTTGAAAAAAAAAGGGAGCTTTCATGTTATATACACTGACAGCAAGAAGAATACAGATGGTGCTTGAGTCTTCCTTCCCCTGTCCTCACCACTTTCTGCAGAGGGACGATCTGGAGCATCCTGTCATACAGCATCACAGCCTGGTTTGGAAGCATCCCTGCTTCGGACAGGAAGGCGATGCCGAGAGTGGTGAGGACAGCAGAAAAGATTATTGGCAGTTCCCTCCCTCCCATTGAGGATGTGGAACAGAAGCGTTGCTTGTGTGGGTCCGCAAGATTGTCTGGGATACCACACATCCTCTTCACAACCTATTTTCCTTGTTACCCCTTCTGGGAGGAGGGGCTCCATGGTACCCGAAGCAGAACATCCCGATGCAGTCACAGTTTTGGTCCATATAGTATTAACCTTGTGAAGCTCCAAAGCTTCCTCTTTCCATTATGTCAGGGGTGTCAAATTCAATTTTGTTGAGGGCCGCATCAGCATTGCGGTTGCCCTCGGGGGGGGGTGGGGTGTGGCCAGGGTGGGTGTGGCCTACTGGGTGGGCATGGACAGAGTGGGTGTGGCCTACTGGGTGGGCCTGGACAGCTCTACATCGTTCGCGTCAAGGGTGCCTGTGGGGGCCTGGGCAGGAGTGGGACAGGTCTGAGGGTCTCTGGCAGAAGGGGGTGGGACCGGGGCAAGTGCCAAGGCATGGTCCACTGGAGGAGCCTCACTGTCCCTCTCAGGCCATGCGGGGGGGGGGGGGGCTTACAGAGCTAAGACTGAATGTGTTTCAGCATAGATGGCCACCACAAAATTGTACATTGGCTCCTGGCCGGCCTGGGCCAGGGTCAAGGCAGTGGGGGCCATTCCCTCACTGTTTCCAGGATGGCTTCGCAGGCCACATGAAACCACTTCGCGGGCCACATCCGGCCCCCGGGCCTTGTGTTGGACATGTCTGCGTTATGTATTCAAAATGGACAGTGATTAATATTCATATCTTACTTATATGTAAGGGTGTAGGTCTATACATATGTTGTATATAGTATGTTTTTTTTAATTCAAAAGTTTTATAAATTTATTACAATATAAACCCCCCCACCCCTTCCCCCCTCCCCCACTTCCCAGAGCTGATTACAGGATAAAAAAAATAAAATAAACAAACATAATCTAACTAACATAAACCAACTATACTATCAATCAAAACCATAACACACTTTAACTCCTTCTCAAAACAAGTATTAACAAATTAAGTCAAAAATAATAATATAATTAAAACTAATAATAATTATCTAAAATCTACTCAAAAGCAAGATAATACTTTTCAATTTCATATTTCTTCTGAATGTAATCAATCCATCTTCTCCAAACCATAATATAATTTTCTTGTGAATGTTTTAAATGTGTTATGTATTTGTACACTTTGAGAGCAAGCAACTAAGTTTCATTTTTAATGTGTGCCATTGTGCCCACAGTAAAAATGACAATAAATCTAATCTAATCTAATCTAATCTAATCTAATCCAATCTTAAAACAGTTCGTTTAGTGACTGAAGTTTCAATGGCACCGAGAAAAGTGACTTATGACAATTTTTTACACAACTGTTGCAGCCTCCCCACGGTTGCATAATCAAAATTGAAAGACTTGGCAACTGACTCACATTTATGATGGTTTCAGTGTCCCGGGATCACGTGATCCCCTTTTGCGACCTTATGACGAGCAAAGTCAATGGGGAAGCCAAATTCACTGAGCAATCACATTACTAACTTAACAACGGCAATAATTCACCTAGCCACTGTGCCAAGAAAGGTCGTAAAATGGGGCAAAACTCGCTTAACGGCTGTCTCACTTAACAACAGACATTCTGGGCTCAATTGTGGTCGTATGTTGAGGTTTGTGCTCAAAAATGAAAGGATGCAGGTAGTCCTCAACTTACAACCATAATGGGGCCCGGAAATGTCCATTGAGACAGTGGCTAAGTGAATTCTGGGAGTTGAAGTCCACGCATCTTCAAGTTGCCAAGGTTGAGAAACATTGCTTCAAATGCTCAGATTCCAAGGAACTGATCATAATCTATGGACTATCATAACTGGAAAAGCTGGATTTACCCTCCTCTTTCTTTCTAGATTAATATAGAGCAGAAATGTTCAACTGAATCCCTCTGAGCATTGCTAAACCACATCTCCCACCATACTTCAACCATTTGCATTTTGCAGCTGCTGGGAACAGAGGTTCAGCCATATATAAATGCTACAGGTTCCTTAACCTTGATTTACGATGAGAGAGAGATCAGGGTTTAAGTTCACCTCCAGCCATTTTTTCAACAAAAAAATCTTTGGACAAGCCATACAGGCACTTCAGTGCAATTTTTTTGAGTCACCTACTTAAGAGATTGCTATGTAGTTAATGTAAAATGCAGAGATGGGGAAAAATACATATTGTTTTATATTAAAGTTCACATTTTAACTCAGCGGCTGTTAGTTTGCTTTTTTTTTAAAAAATCTGCATATATTTTTATTGATGCCTTCCTTCTTGACTTTATGGTGCATTTTACTATTTGTGTGAAAAGGCAAGGAATAGATTTAATATTAATAAGTAAATATGTATTTGCTACAAAGCCGTCAGTGATGTAAATTCATAGACACAGCTAAGTCCCTGGAAAATATATTCAGGCTCTTAATAAAAGGCTTGACATAAATTAAGTAATTAAACTTTATGCTTTGGATCAATGGGTCTGGATATAATCATTTCTTTTTAAGGAATGTATCCCAACTCTGCTCTTACTGAAGGTGTCTGGCACTGCAAAAGGTTAATACAGTACAATCGTAAATAAACTCAGCACATAATTAAAATAGCAGACAAAAGAATAAAACACAGTTAATGAGAATTCTTGCTGAATAGGAAGATGGAGATGTTGGGAAATACAGCTAGAGCAGTGGTTCTCAACCTTTTTAATGCCGCGACCCCCAACCGGTCGTAAGTCGAGGACTACTCAACCGGTCGTAAGTTGAGGACTACTCAACTAGTGCAGCACCGTTTGCAGAATGGGACTTTTGGCGGGCATGCTAGACAGGACTTGGGGTTCAAGCTCTCCCATTCAAGGTTTTAAGGGGTTCCCCAGTAGTCCCACCCAATCAACCCCCCTTCCAGTGATAGTTTCAAGTATCACAATTCCATCCCCTTTCTTCTTCCGTATGGATGGAGACTTCAGATAACTACATGAAAGGCAATTACTCTTCTTTGATATGTTAAAGCTTAGAGGCCACAATAAACACACATTCAGTCCTTTGAAGTGTGCTGAAGGAAGTGAGGGCCCTAAAGCCCCTTTGCTCTCCCCCTTTTCTCCCTCTTATGGCAGAATCCAGAGAAGGCAGAATTGGGAGTTTCTATGTTTGATAATTAAAGATGAAATATAATTGGATTCTGACATCCGGCCCCTCTTAACAATAAGAGAGATCCACCTGAAAGAAAACACACGTAAAAAATTTAGTTAGGCTTGTTAGGATACTCTGTGTGAAACTTCTTCAATAGCTTCGGGGCTCTGACGTGACGTTTAAGGACCCACTCATTTTGTGAGGCAGGGAGGTGTTTCCAGGCAACTAGGTACTGAGTTGTTCCACGATATCTCCTAGAGTCAAGGATCTCTTTTATTTCGAAGTGTTGTTCCCCCTCCACCATGATTGGAGGTGGTGGGGGGGGGGATTTTTGGCCGTAGAGGTGACTGATGCTCTCTTTTCAGCAAGCTGCAATGAAAAATTGGGTGTATTTGCCTGAGGTTTTTGGGTAATTCTAATTCTACTGTTACTGGATTTATGATCCTTTTAATTGGAAAAGGTCCTATATATTTTGGTCCAAGTTTTTTACAGGGCTGTAGGGACTTTAGGTATTTTGTAGATAAGTACACCATTTCTCCTATAATGAATGGTGTAGGCTCAACCCTTTTTTTATCGGCTTGTGCTTTGTATGCCCGCCTAGCTTCATCTAGTGATTTTCTGACTATTGGCCAGGTGTTTTGTAGGTTTTCCATCCATTCTTTCAGTGAAGGGATCGTTGGTTCTTTTGGGGTTAACTCTGGCATAGGGTTGAAACTTTGGCCGTTGGCTATTTGAAAAGGAGTGTAGCCTGTGCTGGAGTGGACTGCATTATTGTAGGCAACTTCTGCAAAAGGAAGTAAGTCCGTCCAATCACTCTGTTGGAAATTTAAAAAACATCTCAAATATTGCTCAAGTACCGACTGGCAGCGTTCCGCTTGTCCATCTGTCTGAGGGTGATGGCTAGATGTCAGTCCCTGAGTGGTCCCTAAGAGGGATAAAAATTCCTTCCAAAATGTAGACGTAAATTGCACTCCCTATCAGAGATGATGCGTTGGGGTGCCCCGTGCAATCTGTAAATGTGCTGGATAAAAAGTTTTGCTAAGGCCTTTGCAGTGGGAATTTTTTGGCAAGGGATAAAGTGCACCTGTTTGGAAAATAGGTCCGTGACTGTCCAGATAACAGTATTCCCATTGCTTTCAGGCAATTCCACTATAAAATCCATGGCTATTTCCCTCCAGGGGGCTGAGGGACTTGCCACTGGTTGTAACAGCCCTGGCGATTTCCCTTGCAACCTCTTTGCTGATGCACAGGTTGGGCAGCTGGCAACATAACTTTCTATGTCCTTTTTTATTGATGGCCACCAAAATTGCCGTTTAATTAAGTGTAAAGTTTTTACAAATCCAAAATGCCCTGCTGATTTTGTGTCATGGCAAAGTTGCATGAAAGTTAGTCTTTGAGTTGTTGGTATATATAACTTTTCCCCTACCCAAGGCAATCCGTCTCTCATTGTGCACACATGTTTGTTTTTCTGGAACCAATCATCTGTTTCCAAACTTTTTCTGAATTCAATCCCAGTTTGGCTGTCCAGTTGTGGTTTTATTTTGGCTTGGGTTCTTGTGGTTACTGGCGCTGCCAGTTGTGATTCTGCCATTATTGGTCTAGAGTCTGTGGTTCGTGCGCTGTTATATTGGGGCATGCGAGATAGTGCATCTGCCAGGAAGTTCTTTCTTCCTGGTAAATGTTTGAGCTTAAATTGGAATTGGTGAAAATGCTGGGACCAGCGGGCTTGTTTGGGATTGAGTTTCCTGGAAGTTTTCAGGGCTTCTAAATTTTTGTGATCAGTCCATACCTGGAAGGGGATTTTGTTGCCTTCCAGGAACTGTCGCCACGTGAGTAATGCCCAACGTATCCCATAAGCCTCCTTCTCCCATACGGGCCAGCGCTGTTCTGTTTCCGTGAGTTTCTTAGATGTATATGCACAGGGTTGCAATACTGCATCATCATTTTCTTGTAATAGCACAGCCCCCACTGCCACATCACTTGCATCTGCCTGTATATGAAGGGCTTGTCCATATCTGGGTGCCTTAGTACTGGTTCGGCAGAAAAAAAGTCTCTTTAGTCTCTCAAACGCTGCT